TAAATCTTTCTTCTGTTGTAACGAGCTGAACTACTTCTAACAAAGTCATTCATAGCAACAATGAGGTGCATCTACATACAGACCCAACTCGGATGGAAATTTGATATTCGAAATACGAGCGCTAAAAGCGTCACGCAAAGTTTCACCGAAATGTAACCAGATCAGTTTTGTTTAGCCTTATTTGTTCGCCTTCTTTAGCCTCATAATCCGTGAAGTCCTGGCCGTCTGCACTGATCGGCGATTGCCCTCATCGGCGATAACTGTCGATGCTAAAGCGGGCAACCCGACCAAAGGCTGTGTCCTTGGTTCTCTGTCTTCATGAAACGACTCGTTTTGGCGCGTCAGTCACAAGTATGCGTCTACACAGGCGTCGTTTTCGTATTCTGTCCTGCCTCAACAGACTGTTTGCTGTCGACTATCGCCCACGCAGCCACTGAGACGGCAGCAATGCCAGACTTTGATTGTAGCGAGGCAGAGTGACAGCAATAAAAGAAAATGTCGGGTGGATCGGCGTCGTTTCCCTCGGTAAATATTCGAACGGAGTGCGTGGGGCACATCTTCCGCAAGCACACGACGGCTCTCCCTCTCGCGGGGGGAGATGCGGAAGACGTTGTGTTCATCGACTTTCATCAGCGCTGCTGCTACTGTTGTTGCAGACATTGGCCTTTCTTCATTGGCACAGAAGCGCCGGTTGCCTTACTATTGGGATGCTGTTTCAAATCTGGCGCGTACGTTTGTTTGTCGAGTCCAGTCGGCCGGAAATTCCACCGGAAGCGCCCTCGGTGCTTTTTCCTGCTTTCCTGTACCATCATGAGTCCACGGCAGACTGAATTGCCTCTCACTATGGGTAACTTGACGCGACTTCACTTTCTACTTGCGTTTCCACTTACTTTTAAAGGATTCGCCCTGCGTTTGTAAAAATGCGCGGTAATTTAGGTCATTTACTCACCCTTGCCGAAGCTATTCTCTACTATGGAACAATATGCACACAGTACACCTATGTTTTTTGGGTACTGACTATATTAGTCGTATTTCAACTGTTTGCAAACGATATAAGGCAATATCGTTTTAAATCAGTTCTCACAGTATCTACTAAACCGGGATAACCATGGGAAAGATTAGGTAGCCTTTTGTAGAATACGATAATTTAGTCTGATAAGTAAATCGATCACAAAGTATGTACATGATTTACAACTCTGCTTTGATTATTTGTTTCTAGAAAGATAATCATATAAAACAAAAAAAAAAAGATGGATCTTGTCATATAGGGACACACTCTCGCATAATATAATATGCAAATAAGCAGACTACTTCGAAAACAGCTGATATGAAAGCGTCTTCATTCGAACATATATTAGCCATTATTTTTCCTATCATCCTCTTAGATTTTGTCGTATTCATGTTTCCCATAGATCAGCAAATTTAATCTCTTATCATCATACTGAACGTCGGACCTTGAATTATTCATGACTGCATAGGCACAGGTTTTCCCTATTAGTCGTGGTCATCGACTTTAAATAGCAGTGAGACCATGGAATCTTCGTAAAATCGTACTGCTACGTCAGAACCGTTTCTGCTAGCTATAGAAGAATCAATAGAACGATACAAAAAATAAATCGGTCATCCCAAAAAAATAAAATACCTCCTTTTTCTCTGTGACTGGGAACACTTAATCCACAGTAGTAGGGAAAACGCGTCCATAGTAAATTTACAGTCTATTCCAGCAAAAGTCTTTTTTCTGAAGATCTCACTTGATATGCCTGGCTCACAATCCCTACACTATAGCACTGATTTAACGAACCGGGTGACCGTGACGGCTAATCAGGACGTTGACTTGCGATGCACCTTAACGTAATTTCTGCATCGGACTGGCCTAGTGTAGTGTTGCACACGACAACATATCTGATAATAATGCTGTTGAGCGAGAAAACGGCGTCCCGTCCTGATCCGCCACAACCCTGGGTTTCCGCGAATCACATTGCATTACATTTATTCTGTCGGAATACGTATAAAACCGTGCAATATTTTTCTTATATATATATATATATATATATATATATGATGTTTGGTTCACTACTGGTGTGCGCGGGCATCGTACCTTCGAATCGTTCCGCTGCCTATTTTCACATTTAGAGGATGTCTTGATTTCGGGTGTCCATTGATACTTCTTCTCCCAATAATAGAAAAGAAAAAGTTTAAGCCTGTTCGATGAGCGTAGTGCTCTTCCCGACTTAGTTATGTAAGCACCGGTTCTAATTGATTGTACATACGAAAATGAAAATAAGCCTGAAATGACCGAATTAATAATTTCGCTACACAATGATATGCTATTCTATAATAAATTTAAGCACCTAAATGCATGTGCCCGTGCGGCTTTGGCGCACTCCTAAACCCAAATAACTATCTTAAATACAGCATAGCATAGGCGGCGGCACTAAAAGATCTTTAAGGACAAAACAACCTAATTTTACGTAGGGGCAAAAAGGCATTAGCAAACCCACCACGTGTCCAAACAATGAACATGTTTGAGAACTTCTATAAGCGAATGTTCATGTCTCCTCATGCTGTTAGTGGAGTTTACTAAATAAACACTTCTACTAGCACCATCCAATTAGAAAGTTCAGCCAAAGAATACCAAGCCTGAACTTTACGATTCTAATCATTTATATTTATTAGAACTATATAATTTGTATGTGCCTGGTCTGACACCTGATAGTCTATAGTATAAAGGTCTTTAAACCTGTTTTGTTTTTCATGCTAGGCAAAGCGTCAAAGCTCCTGTTACTGATGAATGACTCGAACGAAGGTCTCCGAAACTTCACTGAAACGACCCCATTCTTCGTGGCTATCATACTCCGGTTCATTCGAGCGTACGATTCTCCCGTTCAACCTATTCCTTTAAATCGTTCGTGCCAGCGCTTTCTCACCCTCTCGACTTCCGCTCATTGAACCTCTGAATAATGTTGAATTTATTGAACTTCTGTCTGCGCCCTACACCAATCATGTGACTTAAGTGCACCCTCTACGTCCCTGTACTGTTTTTTTCCCAAGAGGTAGTACGAGCAGAATGGTTAGTGCATGGGTAGAGACTGTTGTTCAAGGCTAGTCGTGCGTCAATATGGTGGTCGTGAATATGGCCGCACCGGCTGGCCAGTTGATCCGCAGCTTCTGTCGTTCTTGATTCTCGCACTAATGGATCCTACGCGGTTTTTGCGCCTTATCGTTGCTTCCTTTCTCATCCTTAGCGGTCTTCGAATGTGGGTGCGTGTGCGTGTGCGCGTAAGAGTTTTTTCGAACCTCCAGTGGCTGATGATTAATTTTTTGTACGAAATTCGATCACCACGGGGAGACGGGTGGGCGAGCTGAAATGGGTTGGTTATACCTCGTCGTCTTTGAGTCTCCCTAGGTGTTCTCTACCAATGATTCACAGGGCCATCTTTTGAGACTAGGGTAGGAGCTGGAGAGTGCAAAGTGGGCGCAGCCGTCAACGCAGTATGGACCTTAACCGTGAATACGGCACGATTGGTTTTCGCATTCAGCAGTGGCTGTGTGAGATAATAGCTTACACGGCTCCGCCATCGCATTGAAGAGCCCTCTGTATTTATCTAATTATGAACATGTCAAGCATAAAAAGACACGGTGAGATAAGAAGCCTAACAACAAGGTAAACAATCCGCATGGCTCCCATATTAACAATAGAGAATGCGGCGCATAAGATCTTGAGCTAAATCACCACCTGATATTAAATACCTTTAAATCAATTATATAACTTCTCTTGACAAAAGAAAGCTCCGCGTTCAGCAGCTACCTATTCTGGTAAGCTATCTTACTATATACGATTTCCGAGTTGCAACACATAACAACTATAAATATCCATTATAAATATCCATCCATACAGATGACAGTCAATGCAGTTGAGCGGAGATTCTCTTCCGACATATGGGGAACGATTGACAACTTCGAATGGCGAGAAATTTATTCCCTTTGTTATGGACTAGAAATCATATTCTATCAAAAATTGGAAGAAAATGAATGGGAGTAACTATTTGTTTGTTGTGGGAAGTTACCATTATTATTATTACTAGACAAAATAAAGTAACTGTAAATTTCGTAAAAATAAATTCGAGCAAACATTAGCTTTGAGTAAACAACCACTTAGTTTGATCAAATCTTTAAAGGATCACACCCAAATTTAGATGTATTGCTCGCTAGGAGTTAAAAACGTCCCGCTACAGATATCAGACATTATCAAAATATTAAGTTTAAACGTTAAACCATACAAGTTTAAACTTACGGTGTTATTTCTGTAACATACATAGTAGGACATACATAGACAAAACATAAACATCTATTAAAATTACCTCGCCGGCAATTTGGGCATAGTTTTATTTGAAGAAAGCTCGCCGGGAAATATCGACAATTGAGATCACGATTAGATTCCTCCTTTCGTCGAAGGGTAATGATTGTCCCGCCTGCACCTAACGATGTAATGACTAAATGAATGAGACCACACAGATGGATGACTGAAGAGAGCAGATGAGAATGGCCCCTGTCAAAGAACTTCGAAGATCCGAATTAGAGCTAGCTTCACCATGATGAATGATGAAAACCCGTGGCTGATTTTTATGTCAAATCGCTTCGAATACACGTGGACATTTCTCCGCGGCACGACGCTGTTTGTCTCGTCGAGATTTCTCAAAATTGCTGTTTTTACGAGACTTAGCAGAAATGAACCCAGCGTTGAACAATAAGTCTTAGATAAATGTTGTATGGTAGCTAAATGTATTACTTCTCAATTCATGTTCAGGGTGAAAGCTGAGGTAAAAACTTGCCCAACTTCAAGTATAACCTGACTGTAGAACGCGAATTCGTGTATCTCTCATTAAATGTAAACAAGTTGCAAAAAGCAGTGCAGTTTATTTCTAGTTTATCAAGACTCATGACATAGCGTCTTAACCTAGATATAGGTATGTCATTGTTATAAAGACCGTTAACTAACCTTCGGAACGTTGTTTCTAATAGACAATTCACTAGAAATTATCTGTAAAATAATTATAGAAGGTTATGCAGTGTATTGCATTCTCTAAATTGCACACTAATTATTATCACTTTAGACTAGATAAAATGTATACATAAAAGCATAACATGTATGAGATCGTCTGAAGTCTAAAAAAAATATGTAATATTATGAGTCGCGTCAAAGGTAATGGCATCATATTATAGTTAGTTCTATGGTCTCGGGAGTATAATAAATTCTAGTTTTCATAGAAGCACATGCCAATAAGGTTGTGGTAACTTTCTATACTGGAAAAATGTAGGCTAAAACCCGCGTGTTGCATATCTAATAACTATATAGCAATTGGCTTTCGACGTATTATTCTACCCATTACAGTTCGTTTCGAAGAATCGTAAATCGATAAGCCACTTCGTCCTCATTGAATTCATACTCCTGGACTTCGGGTAGCCCATACTGTTTCCTGGATTCCTCAACAAATAGTAGTGTCTTCCACATAGCAGGCGGGCGAGTTCTTCGTGGTAGAGTGGAGGTCCAGGAAAAGTAGGCCTAACTCCAACTATCCAGTGTTGAGAAGTGCGCGGCGCTATTAGATTTGCTCAATAAGGATGTAGACCTTAGGCATCTGTCGGCGCTGTTTTCGTTTGAAACAGCTTCAGCGTAGTCCTTAATGATCATCTCTGCGGGTTAACGGTTGCTGTTTTTGAAATTGGTGCCTTACGCGCCCTCTGTTCGATATACACTCGAAGTGATTCTAAGCTTGGTATCAACGAAACGCCGGAGTATATAAACAGAGCTACTTCCATACCCGTGGAGTCACAACGTGTCTGATTTGGCTGGTCGCTCTCCCCGTAAAAATTTCTGTCTTATTTGTCTTATGTGTTATTTCTATGCCTGAGACGAGGGCACCTATGGTTTGCAGTACGCAGCATCGAACCCTACTGCTTTTGAAATTAGATTGTCCGCGTACTTTCATATTTGCTAGCAGGTGTCTATCTTTACGGTTAAAATCTGATGATATCACTCTGGGTGAAGCCATTCGTAAGAGAAACTTTCTTCTGTCAAGCCGTCATGTATTGTTAGTCTCAATATCCCTCACTATATTCAGAATCTTTCCCCGAATTTCCAGTTACGCCATCTTTCGAGTACTCACATCCCTAACTCTGACCCGAAGTCAAACATACTATATCCGAACGCGCCCTTTGGGAGTAAAATTATTACGTAAAATCTTTCTCGATGTTTCCATTCGAAATTCGCGCCGCTTGTCGGGTAGTATCTGCTTGTTACCTCGACGTAATGTCAATCGTCGCAACAGAGGACTTGCTAATAATTTCTATACATTACATTCCTTTATTGTTTCCCGCCCAAACATAGGGAAAATAGTGCTGAGTATTGTCGATTCTTCTCCTCGAGTTTTAGTCATTAGTGTCAGCAATCGCTTTCTCCAAGCCGCTGGTCTAGTCTTAGTAGGTAAGCACATCGTTGTCGTCCAGCAAAGGCTTTAAGGGCTTTTTTAAAATGTTCGTTTTAAATATCGTTAGGTTCTGCATAGTGGCTAGTTTACAAAAATTGTATCGCCTCAATGATATCTTACACTGTGATAACGTCGTAGATCTGCTCGCCGGTAACAAGTATTTTTTAACCAAGCGTTCGAGAATACAAGCATATCTTGATGGATGACGTATTACTATTAAGATGTTCAAAGCGGTTTAGACCCACGGGGTGTATAAGACTCGCAACATCCATTTTCCGTATGTTCCGTAGCCACAAATACGAGCATGTTTGTGTGCGATAAAGGACAGAGTTTTACTGTTAGTGCACGTTTTATGCTCCTGCTTTGCTTTTTGCAGGGTGCGCCTTTAGAACGTTCTAAGCGGCGTGCGATAGTTTCGCATCTCGGGTCCAAGGATAGCTAGAGTCCTAGTTTGATATAATGAAGCGCTGGTTCTTGAGGATTCATCGTTCAGCAAGACCTTTTTTTGCTTTATTTTTGATGAACACTGCAGCGGTGTAGTTAGGAAATGATTGTACTTTATGACTGGTGTCCGCGTATATAGAAATATCGTGAGAAGACGATCTTGGTTTAGTTTACTTCGTGTTAGAGCTCATGACGTAACACCTATGCTCACAAGATTGCTTCTCCCCGTTTTCGTGATCTCGGCAGATAAATCTGCCGAGATTTTTAAATTTTTGCTTCAAACAAGATTGTTTCGAGGACATCTGTTACCGAAAAGCCCATAGGTCCCTTTGAAGGTTGAGAATGAAATCTCGCCAGTTAGAAACCCAGGTCTCTTAGAGTAAAGCAGTTGTCCAATTGTCCGTTTGCTTGTCTAGCGCTGCTTTAAGGTCTTCAGTAGTAGCTGTAGGATTCTATCCGGGAGGCCAGTGCACCGAACTGCATCGATGAGCCAAGTCGTATTTTCAGCTTCAGGTGGTCTACCATACATGACTACCACATTAATATGCTTGCCGTCACTATCCACGGTGGCTATCACATAAATATACTCTCCTTCGCTAACTGCAGTTATTTTTCCCCATAAAACCAATGCGGTAGTTATACCGTATCGTCACAGCGCAGAATGATACTGGGTGCTAAGCAATGAACAACGTAATATCCTTGCGTGTCCTCTTCCTCTTATGTCTGTCGCTGGCTGTACTTCTGTACTTGTTTTATAGTCCGGTCACCTCTAATACGCTATCACCTTCAGCTCATATCAAGCGACTTCAGAAACTGAAGTCGCTTGATATGAGCAGTTATTCTTATATCAATGTTTGTGCCCGCTTAATCCGAACGGTGTCGATTCATCATTCAGTTTCCTGGCCTACAGCTCATAACAGTTGTGGAAATACATTGTGCAAAGGCAAATGAGCGTTTGCTCTTTCACACAATCTAGAATTTCTACAAGTATTAGATTTGACTCCATATGGGACTCGCGTCGTTTAAAAAGTGTGTGTTCGATAAATCTAAATATCATATAGTCATTGTAATCATATGCAAAGTAAATTCCCTAAACAAGCTACTTGGGGTACATAGCTTAATGTACAACACGAGAGATGTTACAGCTACCTTCAATCTTCGTTAGTAGAAAGGAAAGTATCTGCCAAAAGCTATTTGATGCTTGATATCATAAAGTTTTGTTGAAAGCGTTTGTTTTCCCTGGTGAAACGAGATAAGTTTCCCACGCAACTCCATCAAAGTAGGGATGATTCTTCAGTTCTTCAAAGCCCCGACGTCTACAGCCAATTCTGAGCCTTGGGTTATCGTGCAGAAGTTCCCGCATTAGTGCCCTGGCATTGGGATCTATATTCCCTGGTAATCGGATCGGCATGTGGTCTAAAAGCAGCATCGAGTATTCTGGATCTCGAATATCTTCAAGTCCAACGATTCGACAGAAAACACTTAAAGGACTGTGGCGGACTGTCAATTCGTACATCAATATGCCCAATGCCCAGTAGTCCACCTGATTCAAAAAAGGTTAAACGTAGGTAATTGTTGGGTTGCTAAATAACTAATTGTTGTGAGGTTCAAATCATTTAGAACCGAAAGAATGATGCAATCAAATTAACCCAATAATAAATGGGCTAGGTCAGTTGTTACTATACGGTAGAAGTGTGTCTCATTTTAGAAAATATTCTTAATCATTTTGTAGTAGAAGTTTTAAGATAATTTAATAATACCCTAATAATAGTATTTAATAGTACCCTAATTTAATAATATAGTTTGAGTCTAATAACCTAGTTCGAAAAATTATTGCTAGATGGCTAAATATAGAACGACCAATGGCGTTTAATCAATGGGCGTTTATAAGGCTAACATCCAGGAAACCTTTTCGGCCTTGCCAAACTGTTCGTCGTCTATTATTTTGTGGTAAGTAAATTACAAAGGATGTTCTAAGGCGCTTGCCGTACCCTAGGAGAATACGCCCGATCGATGACAATCATCGTTTCAGATCTGATGGTTACGAACGTTCAGCGAGTGAAATGGGCAGTGCGCCACTATGACTCCGATTCAGGACGTAGCGTGATCGATATGCTTAGGGGAATTGTAGAACAGACATGAATACTAGAACCCATCTCGGGAAAGCGGGTGACTCCAAATATGTAAGCAATAAAAAAAACTGTTTAGAAATTAGAGACACAATCACTATTGCTTTGACCATCAGCTTAAATAATACAAACCTCCGGTCCATATGACTTCTTGCCTTCTATCATTTCCGGCGCCATATACGGCAAGAATCCGGTTGGGTAAAAGCTCCACTCTTTGTCGGTTGCAAATTGAAAATCAAATAGACGAATGTTGCCTTCAGCGTCGACGAGAATATTTTGCGGTGCGACTCCACGAAAGATCATCCCCATATTGTGTATACTGCAAATGGCGAACGCCACCTGCCCAGTTTTCACATGGCGGCAGTCATAAAAATTTCCTATACATACTAAAGGATACTATTCATAAGCTTCGTAAAGCATACGCAAAAGCGGAATGAAAATAACAGCCTCACGGGTTGACCGATACGAGACTCACAGGCAACCTCTTTCAACATGCGGGGCCCTATACCTATCCAATATTATGTTCGGAGTGGACAAAAAACGGGCAATGATATATCGAAGTTGAAAGTTTCAACTTCGTTGTGCTCCGCGAGATGACGCAAGATAGTGTTCTTTTTTTTTTTATCAAAGTTATTTATTAAATTTAATTCAATAATACGTCTCTTTTGATTGATATTAATAATGTAGTATATTTGTTATATATAAAAAAAACTACTGCGGAACAGACGTACCTGAGATATTATTTTCATGGCGACGTGGGGCTGAATGACTCCCTCAGCTAACACCTCGCTAAGCAGACTGCCGTTGAAATATTCACAAATAAAAACTTCGAGATCTTTCGTTCGATAATAAACTTGGCAGGTTAGCACCTGAAAGTCGTCACAAACCCACAATACAGTTCAGTATGAATCTAGGGTCCAATACATAACGGGCCAATAGTATGGATCGTAGTTTAATACTATACAGTGTTCTTGAAGCATAGTGAATAGCAAGAGAGGCTGTTGAATCGTGATGCAAACCTGCACACAGAAAGATACCCTATGCCAACACTTTTTTTCCATCTCGAAGATTCTGCGGTGAGGCCTGGCGATTTTACGGCGTAGTATGCGACATATGGCCATTCGACCGGTGAGAGTATGTCTCACAGAGTAGAGATAATCCTCAGGTGTAATTCGCAACTCAGCAACAATCTGGAGCTGGTTAAAGGCCCAATGGTCGTATAACGTGTATGATGCATGGCTAAACATTGACTTAATCAGATTCCACAATGACTGCTCTTCAAGCAAATTCATTAGACCACCATTCCTGACGCTGTGTGTATCACGAACGGAAGTTTGAGGCACCCCCCCTACCGGCAAACTTATGCCAATTCGTGTGGCTATCTCCTTATTCAAGTTACAGGACAAGGATAATGTCGAGCGGATAGCCTTCAACATTGCGTGGCAGAACGTCTCGCTTACGTCAACCTCGACTTACGACAATAGCCACGGCATCGGAAGATGCTTTGCTTCGTCAACGCTATAAAAATAATGACAGATTAAAACAATGTTACACGAGTACGCACCTGTGCTGGAGTTACCGTGCCTCGAAGTTCTACCAAGGAAGTGTGTTAAGCGCCAACAAAAATATCGTCCTTAATAATCATAATAAGTGTGTCAAAAACATATTTCCCAATGGCTTTAGTCTTTCTAAAATATTTCTGGACACACGACACTTTCATTACAACGTGGGTAACACCACGAAAACACATAACAGATCCCTGACTTGCAACTCTTCCGGTTTTTCCTAGAATTCCTAGAAACCTCGAAAAACAGACTGATTCCTGTTCAATTTATTTTGACAAATATAATGTTGGATAATATTAAGCTAAGCAATTTTTCAGTAAGCAACGACACGGAACTTTCTATCGTTAAAACCTAAAGGTTACAAGCGGTTCGAAGTAACGCATGTTCCCCTCAGGCTTTCGGCGTCCTCATGTTGATACCAAATAAAAATAACCCAGTATTCAATATTGAGCGGGTCTATAAATTCGCTGTGTTTTGCAGGCGCAGGTAAGCACCCACTAATAGAATAATACTGTAGTAAAGATGCATTAACATAATAACAGGTGCTTACCATGATCATCCCGTTGATTCTTTGAGCGCATATAGTCGCGGATCGTCATGGCTGTGGCAGCTGTTTTCTGCTATTGCAGAGAAAGGAGCAGTCGACCCATTTGATGAATGAGTGTAGCAGCAACGGCGGCAGTTATGATTGGCTTTCGCGACAAGCGTAGAAGCTATGACAATTAATCTGCTAACAATTCGAAAAAAGCATTAACTTGCACGACCATGTAAATAGTTCGAAACGTTTTCGGGGGCGGGTGAAATTACGAAAGACTTCTTCAAAAGGCCTGAGCCAACATCTTGACTGTAGGGGAGATAGGGCGGACAACTGGACACGAGCAAATTCAACTACTGACAGTATTGAAAACCATCTTGGCGGTGAAATAACGATGGCTTGCGACGATGCCAGAAGTTGTGCTGCAAATAGAAAAAAGTCTTCAAGACTCGAACGGACACTGCGATGGGACAACTCGTTGTTGTGTTCTTCAAACGGGACGCAGAAAAAGCAGACCTCGAGGATATTGATTGCTAAGCAAACTTGTCATATGAAAAGACTGACAATGATGTCGAAAGCTGGTACCAAACGCTAACAAACGCCGCCAACGGTATGCTGAATGTGACCGTTTCGTCTGCTGTTGATGTCATGTTGTTACTGTTGCTGCTGTTGATCTTGTTTCGTACGAAGCAGCTCAGCAGTTAGATCCATTATATTCTGGGTAACATCATCTCAAAATATCTGGCAGTATTTACGTTTGAGCTTTTTTAGATTGAAATGATCTAATCCCAAGATGAAATTAATGCAAAGGAAGGCCGAAAAACACCCTTCCCCCGCCCACAAAAGTGGTTTATCGACACAAGACCTATTAGCTAACAATCGTAGCGGTTCGATCAGAAGTTTCTTGGTATAACTTAACTTTTTTTTTTTTCAAAATATTATTGCATTGTAGTGTAATCTAATAATCCAATAACGTACCATTATGTCAGAATAGTGCGGTAAAAGTATAATATTTGATAATATATATTGACTGAGTAATTTATTATATAATACTTTAGTAACTATATTTCTCCCTGCAGATGTTAGATTATTATAGTTGTTAGTAAAGTATACGTATTTATACAATACTGCAAATAACAGTAGCTGATTCTTGACGTAAATTATATCTAATGTGTAAGCTATCCACGTGGAGCTCATCGGATTATCGGCGGGTAACTGGATAGAATGAGTCGTAGCTTCCTGAAGGTAACATTTCGCATGCGTTGCCTGACACGTTTATTGTGACCTATTTCTGACACTATCAGTTCTTCTACGGAAGTCAAACTGCAAAACTATTACCGTATACCGCTACACTCCTTTCGGAGGATCACCTCTGAACCGTTAACACCGCCTCCAGCTTCAAAAAAATGCCTATAAATTATTTGAGACGACACCTCAGGGATCGCTAATAGGAAATTTCCTTTTGCGATGCATCCGCTTCCACACATCAGTGGTAGTTCTTGCCGCGGCGTATGGGTCATTCTTACACTAAATACCAACGCGATGTGTCCTTCACTGGAAACCTTTGAGGCTCCTAATGTTTTGAGCAGTGCGTTCGTACCGATATTAGCGTGGGCTTCATGATTAGGCGAACTTTTACGGTAAAAGAGACCTCTCATCGCACGTTCGCTTTTATCAACTCGTCCATTTTCACAACAGCTTAATGTAATTAGGCTGTGCCTAGAAAGCGTCATAGAAAGCGGTATAGTTGCGACATTAATGTTGCTGTAGTTACAGCTGCCACCAGAACAATCTTCGTGAGTATCAAAAAACTATTTAACGGAATTATTATTGCCTTATTGTTTTCCTCCATTTAGGGACTATAATATAGTGTTTTCAGGTTGACCACGATGCATGTATATCGTTATCATTGCCTTTCGCCGCAAACTACAGGGCGTTGCTGGATATTGACCTTAAACGCTCAGTAAATGACGAAATCGGTGACACTGAAGCTATACGTACAATTAGTGCTCAACTTGCGTACTGTTTAACAAATAAATCGATAGAACGACGGAGTCGTATATTTAGAAGGTAACCTATTATTTTAATAACCTATAATTTAAAATAACCTAAGAGAAGTGGTGATCTCACTATTGCAACAATACTGATTACTAGTTTAGTAGAAAATTTTAGTAGAAAATTACAGGGTGTTTAGGAGGTCAAGTATTTAAAAATATAGTTAGATAACATTTACTAAAAATAAAGAAAAGGTTCGCAAAAAAAGTATCTCTAGAGAGAGAGAGAGAGAGAGAGAATCAAATATCGTCCTAGCCGTGGGCAGTCCTTCTTTATTTCAGCCAACCTTTAGCGCCATTAGAGTTAAATTTGTGGATGTATCTTCCCTTTTTTAAACGTGTGCCATTTGAGTATATATTTTTGAAAAAAGAAAAAACAGATACTGCATGATAGGCCTCTTTCGAAATTTTCAAGCCTAGATTAATTTCTTACAAGGTCGCGGGACTATCCAAAGACTGTGTGCATTTCGAGAAAAGTCGAGAACACATATATCTGCTTAATTCTGCCGTAGAGTGCATAACAGTACAGCGGACATCGAACGTGACCCCAACATATACTCCTTGGGTTTATGCAATACTGGCTCTCATACCTAGTCAAGAGTGGAATGCTACCCGTTCCCGTTTTGAACCGACCTAAATCGGGATATCCGAACAGCGCTGATAGCAAAAGCTCGTTAACGTCTGCATTGTCCTACGCTTTCCGATACGCATCTATGAGGCTAAATTTCATTACTGCCTCTCGGCAAAGATTACGCGCGGAATTTCATTTTGGGCTTCTCTCGGCCTGGATCAGGTAAGACAAATAACATTCCTTCTAATATTAACAAATGCGAGCAGATAGATCTTGGTTGTTCATGATTGTGTATTTTAAACAAAACCATGCTCCTATTTATTCGCTTAAGCAACTTCTCATTGATTGAACGATTTAGATTATATGACACGAATTAAATAGATATGACGATCAGTCCTATCATAAAGCTATACGTAAGGCCCTCACGAAATATAGCTTAAGAAATGTACAACTGTGTTTTTCTGCGCAACAATTGAACAAATTCGATTAAGTACTGAGGTTATATTGACTTGTTCAGTAGTGTAAATGGGCTTTACAAGGGGCTGGTGATACGGAAAATAGCGCCAATCCCACTACCTATGTTCCAGGTTCAACGCTGAACTGGTGATGATTGTAGCCACTTCAGCGTCATTCTTGCCGTTGGTCTAAAGTAATGTCCACCGATCAGCTAAATGAATCTCACCCCACGTTTACAATTACCGTAAATACAGTTAAACCTATATCTAAACATCCATAAACACTTCTATCGTAAGTAAGCGGTGTCTTGTGCGGTGTTGAATGACCATGTAAATGCCTTGCTAATGATACGTTATTATATAGCCATCTTTTAATCGAACCGAACCGTTCGCTGAATAGAGTCCTGCTGCTTTCAACAACGAGCGGTATATGCATCGTAGATGTTAACAAGTGTTGAGAAGCACTTCTTATTCATCGCCATCTTCAATCTCCCGCAAAAGTACAACGTATTTGGTGTGAGGATGCTCGCACGCCGTTAACGTTTCGTGTAGCGATGTGATCTCGAATATGCTGCGCGTTTAGATAGAGGCGCGACACGATAGGATGGACGAGCGCGTACGGAGTGCGCAAGAATCCAGAAATGACTTTAGCTTCATTTGACTAGACGTACAGTAAGTAAGTAAGTACATGGTAAGTTGTGGGCGATCAGAAAGAAAATAATCAGTATAATTCTAAAGCCAGTTAAAAACACGATAAAATCACGCCACTTAATAGATTCTAAGCGTTCCACTTAACGAGAAGCCGTCGCGAATTCGTGTGCGGTATGGCTTACAGTTACTTTATCTAGTGCATTTCTATTTGGCTTTTTAAGGTAACTTAAATCAACCTTGCCTACGTGGTCTATAGTCAAGTGAAGATCTCCTCTACAAAGTATTTTCTACCAGCATTTTCCATTCCAAGAAGGCCATTCATGTTAGAAAGGTATTTCCCCTTACGATACGGACAACCTAAGCCAAAGTGTGTTGCTAAGTAAGGGCTTTGAAGCGTGCAATGTTTGTCTAGTGGCACACCAGCCCGATAGAATTATCAATGGCTATAAGAGCGTACTCACCTTCTTGCTAAATGAAAACGCTGTGCTATTGAAACTAATGTACTACTAGCAAGCATGTAAATCTTATTGAACTGAATAAATAGAACTAAAATAATAATAAGTTGGAAAGTTTAGTACGCTATAATCATTTGATTACCATTTTCTTGGAAAGCTTTTCGCACACAGTCTCTATTTTGGCTTCGCGAACTACATGCTTGCAGCCCAGTAACGCTGATTTATCACCGATCTTCGAAGTATGGCCATTGTTCATATACCGCGCCTGGGGAGAACGCGTCCAGAAGTAGTCCTCGTTCCGCATTTTCAATAGACGACTTTGAAGCCAATTAAAGAGCTTAACGAGGACGAAAATGTGAGGAGGTTATACTTGTTCACGCTTCCTTACGGAACTAACCTACGGGTCGAAGCAGGATTTCGTGCGAAAATACAATCTAACGAATATTGGTTTCAATGTATGATTCCCGAAAACGAAGCTATCTTTATTTTCGGTTGGTCTCGAAGTAAACAGATCTGAAATTAAAAAATATCCATTCCGTATTCCTACAAAGCTAAATCAGCCTCGGTTATTATCAGACAAAGATAGCCTGAGCAGAGAACGCCTATCAAGCAGAACCGGTCCGACGACTCCACGCAGGATGACTGGTGCGACGGAGCCTCTTGTTTTCAGAGGTAGCAAGAATGGTCTCCACAGTCGGGTCCGACGGACCCGTTCGATCAAGTCAGTCCTAAGGATGACAGAACGATATATCTGCTCCCCAAAAGGCTCAATGGACTCTCAAATTGGTACTTAGCAAGTAAGCTTTATGATCTTCAAAATCAGCTCCTCTAAACCAGGACTTGTACGATAACACGGCTTCGGCACTCATTGAACAGAGCCATAGGAGCGACTACGTAGTATCTGCCCCGCTGAAGCAACAACAGTTGTCCGCTTCAAAGCTCCCAGCTATCACTTTTGAGTGGTTTGATGAGGAAACGATCTCTTTAATAAAGACAGCTTATGGCGCTGATCTCTGGAACTAGGAACAGTCCACAAATATTAAAGCGGACTGGGGTAGCAAAACTTCAATTTATCGTTATTATGGCACAGCGAACAAATTTCGCCCTGAAAGGTTAACAAAAGAGTCTAATGATGGGCAGCTTATCAACGTAAAACTGGAACTGGTACATACTGAAAAAATTTAGTAGCTATCGTCGCCATCTGTTCGACATAGTGTTTTTTTTTATGCAGACTATGAATAGATCCAGGGAAAAATATATGGACATCAAGAACATTCACATGGTAATATATCCAAATAGACTGTAGAAGAAATTGAGAATAATTTCTTCAGCCAATCAAAACACAGAAGTGAAGAAAAGGGCAGTAGCAGCTTTTGTCCTTAGCGGAGCGAAAGAAAAAGATATCGATCATTTCTATGAGTAAAAACTAAATTATTTGTATTACGCTGTATATTGCTACGCGTAGAAAAATAAATTATTAAATACAGCTTCTGATGAACCACGGACCACTATGCTATCCGTTTAACTACGATAGAAATAGGTATAGTAGAAGTTGTCATTCGAAAAAATAATACCAACATATAGGAGTTTGCTGCTTTATATGGACTTCTCTATTATTTCGATGCCAAGCGAATCGATCACGGAAAACCCTTACTGACGTAAAGCCTTTCCATAAACATTGAACTATTAGGCGATAAGTAACGCGAGAACACCAAGTTTTTGGAATCGCTTTAGGAAGGACTGTCGAAGACGAATAGTTTATATGTCGCCGAAAAAACATGAAATCTATTGAGTTTCCATCGACGGAAGGAGCCTTCGTCTCGACATCGTCCCTATTTTAGATCTCTTAGGTTACCTTGCTTTATTACTTCGAATGAAGTGTAATATTTGAACTCCTCGTGCGATGGCTCGTTCTCTGAAAGTGGGCGGCATGCAAGGCAATTCCTCTCACAGTACTGCGTTTCTCCCGTATCCAATTTAAGACAAAGTGCTTTTCTATTACCCCAGATTCAGGCTACGTCATAAGTACCAGTACTCATGTACTTCACTACAAAAATCTCTACGTTGAAAACAATCTGCCTTCATTTCTTCAACGAATTATGTTTTAATGTGAATATCTGTTTCTGTCGACTGTATAATATATGAAATTTATATACTGCATTATAGAGACCCGCCGTAGAAGTTAAGACAGCAAGCTTATCTGTTATGCTTTCATTTCTAGTTCAAGACTCAAATGTATCTGTTCACTGGTATAAAGCAAATATAGCAAGTACGCCGTCTCAAATTTTAAATATACTTGTATTTCTATGCGTGTGTCTATACATCTCCTATTATAGAAACAAACATCTGTCAGCTCGCTAAGTGCACCACTTAACGGGAAGATCTGTCGGCTTTCTCCGCTACTACTTGTTGGTACTTTTCCAATTGTCTGACATTTGAAGGTGATTTACGCCACCCTTGCCAATGCAGTGTATAGCCAGAAAGAGAAGAGATGCTGCACGGAGTATTTAATCACAGGACGCTGCTCATCCAACATCGACAACAGTGGACAAACAACAGTATTTGCTGACAAGATGGCCCGTCTCATGGTACGATTTACGATTCAAATGCTCTATCCAATTCCATTGAGTGCATGTACATGTTCTACTCAGAGTACGTAAAGCTTTGCATTCGTCCAGAAAGGTCTAATTACGGGATTGTTATACCAAGACCTATCTGCTAGTATCTATATTATAAAGATGCGTGTGAATGTTGAAAAAATAACTCGTAGCTTGTTGTTTATGGCGCACAAAACTTCTCGTGCTTGTTTTCACACATATGAAGTGATTCTAATTAATCTTGATTATCTTTTGTTTGATGTTATAGAAGGCTTCATACGTGTTCTGCTTAATGGCAACAAGTGCACTCGGAACACCGAGCTATGACCAGCCCTTCAAGTCTACCCATGTTACTCAAAAATACGAGGAAAATACGCCTAAGAGTTACCGTTTTGCGTTCTCATCGGATGATATCGAAGCAAACCAGAAACGCGAAGAGCGATCCGGTGAAGATGGTCAAGTGCGTGGCTCCTACTCATTCATGCTCCCAGACGGAACTAAGCGGAGTGTACGCTACATAGCCGACGAAGCTGGATTTCGTGCAAAAATCGAATCCAATGAACATGGATTGAAGGCAAAAAATCCAGCCGATGTGAAGCTTATGGTTTCACCTCCCAAGGTTTCGCTTAAACAGGAATGGTCGCCTGGAGCCATTAAGCAGGACTGGAACGAGAAAGGCGCCAGTTTTGGCCAAGTATGGATGCCCGAATCTATCAAACAGGACCGGAACGAAAAGAACGTAGTCTTCAACCAGAATCGGACGCCAGCCCCAGTAAAGCAGGACTGGAACGAGACAAACACTGCCGTCGCTGATGGTTTAGCACCTGCTAAGCAGAGCTGGAATAAGAATGAACAGGCCGTTATTCTTCAAAACGGTTGGCCCACCAAGCCTGCTCCAGCTAATCAAGGTTGGCAAGAAGGGTGCCAGCTCTCGGCGCCACTTACAAAGCATTGGTCACAGACCCCTCAGATAGAGGAGGTTAAATCGGGCTGGTCAGACGACACCCTTAAAGAAGCTTGGCATGACGCGGCTCCTCGTGCCCACCGACAACAGAAGTGGTCGCCTAAAGGTGCCTCCATTAAGCAACAAGGTTGGCCTGCTGAATCCTCTCAACAGGTCTATGGATCTCATGGTGGATGGTCCGCCAATGCATTTATTACCCAGAAGGCTCAATGGGCTTCTAAAGTAACAGCTGTCAAAGACGCCGAATGGTCCCAACAACCCGAGGCAGTCAAAAAAGGATGGTCCGATGATTCGTCTTCCGCCCCTGTACGGCAAGGCTGGGCAGAGGAAGCGTCGTGGTCAACACAGAAGACTCCACCTGTAAAACAAGCCAAGTGGTCTGATTACATATCACCTGCTCCTCTTAAGCAAGAACAGTGGTCTGCACAAAAGACATCGGCTCTTAAAAGCAGTTGGCATAATGAACAGATATCTGTCCCAGTGGAAACTGTTTATGACACGTATTCTAGTAACCAAAATCGCGTAGACAGCCCTAAGGCTACTGACTGGAGCGGAAAAAGTACAGAAGCTAAATTTGGAAGCGGATCTCGTTTAGAGAGGTTTACCCAGAGCGCATCCGACGACAGACAATCACCAAACGTTAAACTGGAATTACCGCATGCTGACAAAATTGAGTGGTTCTCCCCACCAGGAACTAAATTTGCTGTCCTCAAGCAGCAAAAACAGCAGTGGTAAACAAGTGATGGAAATAATACCGGAACATGCATTAAAATTCCCTAACAAGCATCGTTTATGCAGCGAAACACGACCAAACTATTTCGCCCTTCTAAGCTAGATTATGCTTCTAGCTTAATAATGTTTCAACTACTATTTATTTTGCACGTACATTCTGTGACACTTCCACAAAGAGGACTACTTCTGCTTGACAATATGTATATTGCAGTAAATCTTCTTGAAGAGCTTTACTCTGTAAAGAATAAAGCTGTAGAGCAATTACCTGCGAGACCCTAATCCGCCAGATAAATTTCCAAAACAGAATTTGCCTGAATACAAAAAGTCGTGAAATGACAAAAATAAAATTTTACATATGCAAATCTTAAATATGCGTGTTTGAAAATGCCAACAAAAATGCGCCCATATCGTTAAAAAAAATTTTTTTAGGGTGTTTTTTGGTTAAAATGCAAAGTTGAAAGGCCATTCACGTAGCACTATCGTAAACCTGCAGTATAAGCTTAGTAACTACTTGTCCGCATCAAAGTATAATAACTAAGTAGGCTTGCAACAGCTAACCTACCATGTTTCGTGGTCGGCTGCCGCCGTTAGCTATTGTCCCAAACCGTTGGCTTTTAACACGAAACTAACTCAGTACACGCCTGGATTCGAACCCACACCACCACGCGTTTCTTACTTTTGCCATGCAAACACCCTACCCACTACGCCGTCATCGTGTGATGGGGAGTCGGTGGTACGGATCTAGACCGTCCAATCAACAGTCATTGCAGCATGGTGTTCTTCAAAGAATCTCAAAGGCTTTGCAAACCCGGAACAATTCGCTATCCAGTATTTGAATTTACCAAAATACAGTGAGTTTTACGACTAAGTGACACAAAAATAGGGTTCAGGAGATTTTCTCTGCAATATTAGTACGAAAGAAACTGAGGACTTTGTCATTTTTACCCCATGTGTATAATTGTTTTTGGTTATTTTTTTAAACTTATTTACCGAAAACAACGCTGGTGTATTTGTTTTGACAATCAGTCTCATCGACATGGAGGTCGTATGAGCTGTCGAAGTTCAATGCTGAATTATTTGTAACTCATGATAAAAAAAAATCTTCGGAAGCACCGATTCGTTGAATTTATCTCTCGGGCTCAACAGAAGATCTCATTACGCCACATGTAAGGAGCGCGGAGCTATAGATCTACGGCTCATCTACGCTGGAAGTATCATTGATGTCTTATGGTGCGACATAATAACAATCGGTGCATTGCTAGCCCTGATACGCGAAGCCTTGTACAATGTATTGAGTAAAACTTGGCCGTGTGTTCATACCGATCAAACCGGTACCAAGTAATATTTTGATTGTTTTAGTTGATCTGTGTATTTCCCTATGCCTCACGAAATCATCTTACTTCCACCAAGCTGTTCTAAACAAATGGTATGAATAGTACGCCCGATCATACTTGTCTAAGCTTCATCGAGTAGCTGGCAAAGGTGACTCTGTATATGCATATATATATATATATATATATATATATATTATATATATAGGAACCGTTTCCGTTGCCATTGTGATGTCCGCTCCGACCGACCCGGTTACAGGACTAGATTTCTTCATCGATTTAGTCGAAGAGGAGTTTTTACGAACTTACAACGGTGGTACGGCGAATACCACGGGGAAAGAATCACACAGCTATTGTTTCCCAGAAATAGTACGTAATGAGCTCGTTAGTCGTTGCATGGACGCCTGGTTGGTCATGGAGACGTCTCTCCGGACGCATTTCAATAAAGCAGCCGCTAACCTATCGAAACAGGATGAGCACCGTGACGAACGGGTATGCTAGGAACTAACTGTGACCTATTGGTTTCGTTAATTATTTATAGAAATCGGCTGTGGCTTGATGATGCGTATATATATATATATATATATATATATATATATATATATACGCATACACTTAGAGACGGCAACTCTAGTTGTAAAACTTAAGCTGATAGCACATCTGTGTATAAACGCTTTTTGAAGATGCCAAAGTATAGCGTTCGAATTAGAATAATGTTCTTTTTTAGTTAGCGCTATTCGTATTAGACGTTCTTAGCAATTCAGAACTACCAATAGGTCAATAAATGTACTTGAAATATATACATAGACGTTTTGTATCGAAGGGCCAGTGTCTCTACACGGTCTCCTTGCGAAACTTCACCTCAAATTTGGAAATGTACTACTTTCTACGAAGATATGATGCAGACCAGGCAGTAGATAATTTTATCCAAATCATAAGCACACCTATTATTCTAATACAGCCAGATGTATATGCTAAACATTTATCTAACTGAATTCTCACTGGTGAAGAAATTCTCAAGCATCATTGACAAACGAATTGACAGACGAATCGTCGTACGGGAGGCGACGTGAAACGTGAACGTCGTCAATCATCGATGAAAAATGGCGCTTGTGGTCTCCAGCCCCCGAAACGTGTAATCACAGCCTACTTCCAATTCTGCCGTGAACAGAGACCTCGAGTGACACAGGAAATGCACAACCGGAATCTCAGCATGTCCCTAATTGACGTTACTCGAGAACTCGCTAAAAGGTATTAGGACTTGTTTTTGCGTACATTTTGCGCATTACCATTGCCGCAATGCGCATACAGTTGACTTCGTTTCAAAACAGCCATGAAACTAAGGAAAATTATCTGTAACGAGGTAACAGCATCGGAGATGAAGCACAATCAAAGCGCAGCTAATGCAGGGTAATGGTGTGAATAGGTTACGATAGTGGAGTTCAGAGGAATGCAGGCTTTTGAAAGAATGTATGATCAAAGTAGTAGAATAATCGAATAGGACAAATGTGTGACGACTGAACTGCGACTTCGTGATTCACCGGAAAAGAAAGATGACAACAATCACAACGCAATTTAAATCTGACGAATTTAGATAACGCACGTTATATTCTAGTAAACAGCCATAGTGTACGTGTGGAAAAAAGCGGGCTCCACCCGAACTTGTTCGGTCAGAACCAACAGTCCACACACACGCCCGTTATCACTCTGCTTGAAGGACATCAGACGCAGGTTTAGTTCGTATATAATCAACGTGTACCCACTGGTACCTTAGGTGGAATGAGATGCCAGCTGAGCAGCGGGCGCGTTTCGAGCAACTCGCGGCTCAGGACAAAAGACGTTACGACGAGCAAATGGCAGAATTCCGTCGCCAAAGAGTCAATTGCGGCGGCGGCGGCGGCGGCGGCGAAGATGACGACGATGAGGACGAGCACGGAGGTGGTGATGGCGGCCGTGGCGGAGGCTACTTTGATAGAAACACGGACCTTGAGCTAGGGGAGAACACGAGTGAAGAGGAGAAAGGTACTGATGGCAATGATGACGATGATGATTGCGATGATTGTGATGATAATGATTATGATTACAGTGATTATACTGATGAGGACGACGGAGATGAACAGGAAAAGGCGGACGAAGGTGAGGAAGGGGAAAACGGTGGACCGCTCTGGACAGCCATGAAGAAAAGCGTCAGTGAGCAAAGCAACAGCCGAGAGCAGTCTGATGATTGTGATGAGGAAAAAGAACAGGACGATGATGCTGAAGGGGAGTTAGATAATTACCATGATAATGGTAATGAGCGTGATGATGATGATGACGACGATGAGCGTGATGATGGTAATGGTTATGATGGTTATGATTGTGTTGGCGACTGCGTCGAAGATAAAGAAGATGGCACCACTCGAAGTGGAAGTCTCTCAGAAATCGCCACGGCTTCACCAAGAATTTTCGTAGACTCGGATGATGGTGATGATGTGGACGATCGGGATCTTCATAATGATAATAACAACATCACAGATCGTTATAATAAGAAGGATACTGAAGCCGTGCTTAAGAAGGACGACGAAAATCGCTACGAGATTGATGATCAGGACAAATCAGTGGTGGATAATGTGAATCGAAACGAAGCAGGCGATGGGACATAGGATAGGACCCCTTAAAGAAACTGGATGTTTGTAGTGTAGTGGTAAAAATATCCTGTTAGATCACACGGCAGACAGAAATGCTGCTCTGGTCTGCCTATGTTTTTTTTTTTTTACAGTGCTTAGTGTTATCCATTGAGTGCTTGCGAAGAAGCCCGTAGTAATTTCAGTCGCAGTGCATTTCGTTAAATGGAATGTTTTTTTGGCGCTATTCTATTATATAATAAAATGTACATATGGATTACGTAAGAAAGACTGTCAGACATTTTGCTGTTTATAAGTCACGTCGCAATGGAGTACTAAAAAAGGATCATATCCTGATTTTTGCGTGTGTTAATTATAAGCTATATTTCTTATGATTTCTAGTTAATTACCATGGCAAGGCAAGTATGTCGCTACTTGCCGGTCAGCTTATCTAAGTGGTCTCTATAGATTACTGAAGTGATTTACTGATTTTTTTTTTGCGATGACTATCAGAGATTAATATTTTGTGTGTTTATTAACGTCGAACACCAATTTAATATATAAAAATGTGTATAACAAGTATGCATCTCTTTATTATCCCTTTGAAATTAATGTAGCTTGATAAATTAGTTGAAAAAAAATATAATTATGTACGGTACTGTATGATATTTAGGTAGATGTGATTATATATATATCTTGGGTTGTCGAAGAAGGTTTTTCAAGCTAGATAACTTTACGATTACATATCTCAGATAATGAACTGCGTCAGGCCGATGTTGGCGTTGTTTACAGTAAAATTTACAATAAAACAAAAAAACAATAACAGTGTGTTAGAATCTAGTTTTTGATAAAATTGAAGATGACTTGGAAATAAATGAAATTGCGGTGAAATTTGTTTTACTTTACTCTACAAAAAGAAAAAGGTACAAACATTTACGGTCAACATGCGGTATTCGAAGAAACCGGCCAAGGATGGCTCTATTAGGTTGTATATCATTGTGTAAGACGCTTGCCGTCGTGGATTACGCAAAAAGCAAAAAGCTGATGAAATCATTACGAAAGATAAGCAAAATCGACACGTGAAATGTCCTAAACATCCTTCAACAAACTGTTTTAAATCATATAAAAAGAGCTGCGTATAAACAGAGGCTCAGTGTTTGAGTACCACATGTATTAACCCAAGACTTTTACTAAATCATGGTTGTATCTAGAAAACACTACAGAAACGTAATGAAGTCGAACCATTTATGAAGCGGTGATAAAATTAAGATAACATACAATAATAATAATATGGGTAAACGGAAATTATCTAGAGTGTGTGAGAAAATTCGAAGGGGAAATGGAAGGGAATCTGCGTTCTAATGCATTGCCTCCTAGTAAAAATATTCGGTCTTCTACTGTGAAACAACTACCGATATTAAAGTAAGTCATTGAAAGATATCCCTACCGGATTTAGTAAGCAGAATTAGCGTCGCTTTTCACCATGACAAGGCCAGACCACATACGTCTTCAGCTATGTAACACAGATCGGAAGAACTTGAATGAGATGAGAAATTTCTATGCATTTATTATGTATTTCGGATCCTCTGTTATCAGATTGTCGTCCGTCACGGTCTCTGCAGAACCCATTTAACGGCGTTACTTTAATATCAGTGGAGGTATGTAAAAATAACTTGTCATGCTTATTCGCCCAGAAACCACAGGGAGTTGTTAATCAAATTGGTACATATATAATTTAGTGGTATTATTTTGAAATAAAAATTGCTTTAACTTTGAACTTAATCTTCAGAAAATCGACGAACTATGTCGGAGATTGACCAACGTTTAATGCATTTTCCAAAAATATTTTTCCATATTTATTTCTTCATAAATAACGTTGAATCAAAACAGCGAAAAAATAAATTTTGCTCAACTTATTTTTACTACCGTCAAACTTTGCCTAATGCTTTGATAATTATTTGCGACGTATTGGAAGGAATCGACCGAAAGGCGATATCCGTCTGTTTCCGATCGAAGGTTCAATGATCAGGGCACTCGATGCAATCGAAAACAATACGTAAGCTAATTCAGAGCATAACTTCCATTTAGGTTTGAATTATAAGCATTTACAAATCCAGCTTATAATCAAATTGCTTTACTTTTATTTAATTTAATTAAATTCCAAACTTTACAAAAAAAAGGTTGCAGAAAAACATTTTTATCCAGTATCTGTGCTTTCAATCCACAACACGCTGTCTTCTGAGTTCAGCAGAAGTCAAACGCCTCTTATATATAAACAAGAGCTGCCTATCTTTGCTAGTGTCGATTTGTAACCTGTGTAAAAAAAAATACGAATGATCCTTCCCTGCTAAAACTGACTGGTCAAAAGGGACTGATATCAATGCATAGCTATAGTGAACGATTGAATCATGGTTCAGGATGGAGTAAAGGTCTCAATTGCGCTTTGTTAACAAAACCCGGCGACACTCATTAAGATGCGAACGGTAAACCAGGCCGCCAGGGAAAAGCCAACAAAACCTAATAGTCGCTTAAACTTTTAATTAGCCATTCATTAATCGCCGTTAACTACAATAATACCATCCACAAGGTAGCCAATAACAACAACCTCAGGCTACTGGACAGATGGGCGGATCCTGATGAAAATGTTCGACGACTTAAAAAGGGCTTAACATTATGGATATATGAATGAGGAACATATGAAACGGTACAGCGTTAAAAAGATAGTGCTGAAGCCTTACGAGCTTTAAACGCTATTGATCCCTTAATAAAATGTACATCGTGTAGATACTGACTTCAGACTTGGCTGCCAGGCTAGTTAGGTATACATAGGTCCAACGGACCCAGGATTTTGCCTGAAGTGTAACAGTTCATTTTAGATACTGCGGCCAATTAAAATAAAAACCAAATAATCGAGGTGTGCAAAGCGAGCTATAAAAAAAATTATTATGTGTTTGTTCAAACACGTAACTGGTGATTGTTTTCTGCGTCGTCTACAAGATTATAAGTCTACCCGTCTCAGGAATTGTCGCTGATTTGCACCAACATACAAGTGAATTGCCATCTACTGTAGCATTTCGCCAGACCTCACAAATTGCTCTTTTGCTGTTCATAATGGAATCACAGGATGCTCTACGCCAGCATTCGGACACTATTAGCAACGTATCGTATTTTCTAGGATTCTTACTCGAATCAGACGTCGAGTTGGGCAGACTCGCAATATTCTCCCATCTTTCCTACTTTTATAGCCCGGAATGCCGTATTACATGTCGTGCCACATGAACTTTGGACGCCGAGGCTATCATAGTTCCGATACCTTAATACCCGTCGACGCACAAGCCAAAGTGCCTCGAAAGGCGGCCGGAACATGCATGTCCTGCTGCTATTGCTACCGTTGCCGTAAAAACGCCTAATGGAATCCCTCGACGGCGTTCATAGTTACCCAGCTCTCTAGGGGCTTTCCCTAACATTCGCCTCGAAACAAACCATCCGGGTTAACGGCACCCACTTTGCTGTCCTTTGAAAACGCACGTCTTCCAAGTCTCCATTGAAGGGTATTTCTATCCGGCCTATTTTCTGTCTGGGGACGTCGTATTTCTTCCCATTTCCCCTTACTCTATTAGCGGTGGATTTCGATTTCGAATTGCGACGTAAAAATAACGACGCTGAAAGATCGAGTCGTCTCTTCTGCTGGAACTTACCACCGCGTTCTGTCCACGATCTTCTGTTAGAACCGGCTTTGCTTTCGTTTTTATTGAGGCTGAATAGCTCGAATCCTTGCGCTTCCGTTTTCAACAATGGATATAAGAAGAGATGCTAGTATTCGAGATTTGTTGCGAAAAACCTCCCCTTATAATAACTTAAGGAACGGTAAATGCTTTTGCGGCCGCCGTATTCGTTGACCGAGAATCATTTGGTACTAGCGTTCTAACCGTTTTACGCTTTCCGAGTTAGGAAAATTCTCGTACGATTATACTTTATACAAATATCCCAGTACATTTTTTTTCCAATATTGTTTCGTAATAGTATGAGAACGACCCAAGAAAAATGAAAGCAACTTGTTAAAACCAAGCATTTAAATGAAATAGACCAAAATCAATGTATATCTTGTGTCACTGCTTCATACTGTAGTTACACAGCCAAGGTGTTTGTGTTCTCAGAAGGCCATCAGAATGCCTTCCTGTGCAAAGTCATTGCCGTCCTGTACCCATCCGTGATCGACTCTATCTATTATATTATATCGATCTGTACTAATCCGCATATGCGCACAAAATGTGACCGCTATCGCCGTCGTCACGACATGAACTTGTAATGCAATAAGCACTTTGCGGTGTACAAAAAGTAAGGAAATAGATTTCGTCTCTACATATGTTCAGTTGTATAGGGTTAAATAACCGGCAACCATCCAGTCCTGCTGATCTAGGTAACGTCGCGATTGCTCTGTACACACTAGTCGTCTACGTGGCCGAATGGGGCAATTAGCTGCCTTTTCGCCCATGCTGCCTGTCGTTCCCAAGGGTCTCGTACTGACGAGAATGACCGGCGACTAAGCCGGCTAGCCTACCAACTGCGCAAACAACGTCTTTGCCTGCTTTTCGAGTTTATACGCGAGGCCTAACGGGGTCGCGCCACCAGCGTTATCGCCAGTAGACAAATTTGCAATGAAGTGGGATGCTTAATTTTCTCTCGTGCCTGCAGCGAAGAAGATGTGTAACGAGCAGTGTACACACTGAACGCACGACGACAGGAAAAGCTTGAGCAGGACGAGTTCGGGTCGAGCTAAGCAACCCCACTGCGAGTGAAGCAGCAGAGTGACGATGGGAGAGTATTGCAATGGCAGCAACAACGACAGGAAAACAACTTTACACTACGAACTCTATTGCCCCAAGTACTGGCCCGATGAAAGGCATATTTTTATATGTGCGGATTGGAGCCAAGACGAGAAGAGACCTACTACTGGAACTAGCTGCCATTAGCACACTCTGACGTGATCAAGGCATCCTGTAACCTGATTTACGTTTACTTGACTTGCGTAATGGTGCTTAAGTGATTCTGTTAGAGGCTTCCTATCGAGGAACTTATAATGAAATATATTTTAGAAGAAGATCAATGAATTAATAATTGTTCAGGTATAAGTTATGAACGTACTCTCGTAGACGACACAATGTATTTAAGGATGATTTTCTAACACTGATAAATCACAAGAGTACAAGTGACATAAATCATTAATGCGTTCATATAGGTCGTCTATGTATTTCATCAATTTAATGCGTGAATAAAGTAGAATACTTTTCAAATACAGTCTTTGTTTTAATATGTAGCTACTAAGACCGTTATTAAACCCATTAAGTACACT